CAATAGCATTCCTGTACACAAACAACAACCAGACTGAGAGAGAAATCAGTGAAGCCACACCTTTCACAATATCATCTAAAAAAATGAAATACTTAAGAATCAATCTAACAAAAGAAGTAAAAGATCTATACAGTGAAAATTATAGTACTCTGAAAAAAAGAGATCCAAGAAGTTATCAGAAAATGGAAAGATATTCCTTGCTCATGGATAGGAAGAACCAACATTGTGAAAATGGCCATACTCCCAAAATTGTATAGATTCAAGGCAATTTCAATTAAAATACCATTGGTATACCTCACAGATCTAGAGAAAACATTCCTAAAGTTCATCTGGAACCAGAAGAAGCCTACAATAGCAAAAGCAATCTTGGGAAACAAAGGAAAGGCAGGAGGCATCACAATTCCTGACTTGAAATTATATTACAAAGCTACTATGATAAAATCAGCATGGTACTGGCACAACAACAGACCTGAAGATCAATGGAACAGATTAGAAGATACAAATACAACTACAAATACACTCAGTCACCTTATCTTTGACAAAGGGGCCAAGCATGTTCAATGGAAGGAAGATAGCCTCTTTAATAAATGGTGCTGAAAAAACTGCCTTTCCACATGCTGAAGACTAAAACTAGACCCATGTCTTTCACCATGCACTAAATTAAAGTCAACATGGATCAAAGATTTAAATATTAAAACAGAAACACTAAATCTACTGGAAGAGAACACAGGTAAAAATCTTAAAGACATAGGGGTAAGTGCAGAGTTCAGGAACAAAAACCAAACTGTACTTCAAAGAATCAACAACTGGGATCCCACCTTATTGAAAAGTTTCTGCACATCTAAAGAAATCACCAGCAGAGTCAAAAGAAAACCCACAAACTGAGAAAAAATTTTAGCCAACTGCCCCTCAGACAAAGAACTTCTACCTAGGACATATAAAGAATTGAAAAATATCCAGCCTCCCAAATTCAAAGACCCAATCCAAAAATGGGCATCTGAGATAAATACACACTTCTCTAATGAAGAGATACTAATGGCGAATAAATACATGAAAAAATGTTCAACATCATTAGTCATTTGAGAAACGCAAATTAAAACAACACTGAGACTCCATCTCACCCCAGTGAGAATTGCTATCATCAAGAAATCAAACAATAACAAATGCTGAAGAGGCTGAGGGGAGAAAGGAACCCTTCTTCACTGCTAGCGGGAGTGCAGATTGGTGAAACCACTGTGGAAATCAATTTGGAGATTCCTCTCAAAAGTAGGATTGGAAATCCCATTTAACCCAGCTATTCCCCTTCTGGGTATTTTCACAGAAGAAGTAAAGACATTATACCACAGAGATATATGTGCACCCATGTTTACAGCAGCACAATTTGTTATAGCTAAATCTTGGAAACAACCCAGATGCCCATCCACTGAGGAATGGATAAAAAAGTTGTGGAATTTTTATACAATGGAGTACTACTCAGCTGTTAAAAAAGATAAACTCAAGGCTTTTGTAGGTAAATGGATGCAACTAGAGACCATACTCATAAGTGAAACAAATCGGACCCACATGGGTAAACATCATATTGTCTCCTTGGTGTAGGAACCTTCAAGACTAGGTAAAACTCAAAACGTACAACAGATGACAGGAAAGGGAAAGAAATTGCTCAAAGGAAAGAACAACTGGGATGAGGTAAAGAAGAAAAAGAAGGAAGGCAAAACATAAATGTATATATGAATAGCTGCGATGATTGTGTTGCTGTTGTCTGATCGTGCATTGAAATGAACAGTTAATGCTCACAATTTTTTATGTTCTGATAGACTTTGCATGCTTGTGTCTGGCGGTCTGAGCAACAAATTTGAAGGTAACAATATGCAATGGAATTACAATGGTGAACTCCTACCATTTTGTCTAGTGAAACTCTGCATTATCTCTAATGTTTTATTGAAGAATTATTTTCTTATTCTCTTTAATGGTTTGAGCAATCTTTCATCCTTACATCTGATAATCTGAGCAATGTAGCTGAGGATAGCGATATGCAATATAACAACCATTGTTGATTTGTATTAATTTGTCTTGAGACCCTGTATCACTTTGAGTGTTCTTGCTTCGATTTATGTTTGTGATACTGGTATGCTGCCACTGTTCTATTTTTTTGTTTGTTTGTGTCTTGTGTACTACTCCCTTTAAAATAAAATTTAAAAAATAAATAAATACATAAATAAATAAAGGATTTTCCTCTAGATGCTCAGCAGGCTGCCATCTGTCCCCAGTTCAAATTTCAGACGCATAAACTGACACATTGTCTCCTGTGGCCTCCACCCATCCGCTCTCGTGTTCTGAGCCTCGCGACTGTTTACGGAGGTCGGCTATGTGCTAACAGCGTCCCAGCTGTTGCAACAGAAAGCGGCCTGCGAGGAGGTCCCTGTCTCCCAAGATCTCACAGATGCGAGGGAAAGACAACTGCTCATTCAAGGACAGAAGCAGGTGAGGTACATGGGGTCTCCTGGATTCAGAGAGGTACCAGAGTCCCCTGGAGGCATAAGTGAGACTCAGGATGGAGAGGCAAGGACATCAGAGTGTCACCCTGCCCAACTAGAGCAGGACACTTCTTCTAGCAGATGAATCCACACTGGCACATCCACACTTAGCCACAGTGCACAGTCAACGTTAAGGCAAACTCTGGGTGCTGCATGATCTGTGGGTTTCAATGACTGTGTAATGACAGACACATCGCTACAGCGTCATTAAGAACAGCGACAACGCACTACAAATTCTCTGTGCTCCGCCTTTCATGCCCCTAATGCCCCACAACCACTGGCTGCGTTAAGTCACCACAGTTTGACCTTTTCTGCAATGTCAGGGAGCTGGAATTTTACAGGCAGGCATTTCATAGTGGCTTCTTTCTCGTAGCCATATGTATGGTTCAAATTTGGGTTCAAATTTGGGTGACTGGGTGTACTTGTAAAGTTGCTGTGCAGCACATGATGCTAATCCAGATGACCCTATGATGGCCCACATTTGCCTGTACAGTGCTGTGCTTCGCTGCTCCCACCAGAGCTCTCTTGGTCAGTTGCTATCAGCGAGTTTCTCCCTTGTTAGTGAAGTGCTGAAACCTTGATTAAGATAACCAACTAGGAATTGGCCACTTCCAGAGAAAGGACATGCCCTAGGACTACCCTTCTTTCTCACTAGGAACTGAACACATCATCAGGAGGCACTGTGAAAGTACAGGCAGGCATCTGTGCTGGAGTGGACACAGAGGCAGTCAGCCAGGTCACCCTGCAGGGCTGTGCCTCCCAGGTCACAGACAGTGCCGCCACCCACCCAGCCTGCTTTCTGCTCCCCTTTCAGACATCGAAAAACCTCGCCCTCACCACGAGGCCAGATCAACTTGATTTAACCATCAAAGCTCTTTTTTGTGTGGTTGAATTTATACTAAATTGTCCTTTAATGTAGCTAATGTATAAAGCAGAGGAAGATTTTACTTAGTTTTATTAACAATTTTTAACCATGCCTTAGTTGTTCACAGCTATGGCAGTAATTTGTGCTGTTTAATGTGACAACACACTTGAATTGGTGTGCGATTTCACGCTCTGTTCAAAGTGCCTGTGCGCTGACTGTAAGGCCTCGTGTGGCCTGGCCAAGCACTGACATACTGGGGTTCATTTATCCTGTATATTGCAGTGAGGTTATCCTATTAATTTTTGGAAATCAGTTCTGAAGATAAAACACAGTGTCTATGATTCTTACATAATAATAAAGCATTATAGAATATTTGCTATAGAAAGATACTGCAGATCTTTTACACAGTACAGTCCAAACCACTGAAAACCACTCTCTCAGGACATGCACTCTTTGCTATAAGTCCCTGGGGTCTGTGTGGCCAAGCCCTGTCACACAGACTGGCTCTACACAGCAATGAGGACCTCGCCTGGCTCTGCCCAGGGTCCCTGTGCAGGGTGCTCACCTCATTTCTAAGAACCTTGGTTTATCTATCTAAAATATAGAGAAATCAACTTGGTTTTCTCCAAAGATTCTTTTCATTGTTATGTCTTAAGATCCTAGACACTCTTCACTCTAGTATGGTCCTTACCCATCTCTAAAATTTTGGGAAGCCAGTGAAAAATGTTCTTGGCTACCACCCAAAAAGTCTGGTCTAAAAAGGAAAAGCCACCCTCTGGCTAGATCTTGAATGAGACTTCAGAATGCCTTCAGCCATGGTCTGCTCCATCATGAATCTCTGTTCTCCAAGAGGAAGTCAACCTCGGCTTCCACTTACAAAGCCCTCAATCAGCAGAGTGGCCAACACTCTCAGACACAGATGTCCTTTGTCCTTGGCAGCTCTGGAACTTGACCCAACTCCACAAGAAAACCAAGCTACTGAGGAAGGCATGAGCCCCAGGCACCCGGGTCTATTAGCACAAGAGTCAGGATCTGAACCCAGCCACCCTAGGGCCTGGCATACACCGCCACTCTGAGTCATGCCCGACTCGTGCATCTGTCGTTACGGATCTAGGTAAGGGACGGGACTGCCGGAAATCAGGCGGGAAATTAAGAAAGAGCAGAAATAGCTGTGAAAACGGTTCCTGAGAGCAAACCACAGTCAGCTGAGTTGCCGTACCCTCACGGGGCTCATCAGGCACTTCTCTGTAGACACAACCTTTTAAGCGAATGTGGTATTATTAAGTGTATTGAATATACGCAGAAAATCAGCAGTTAAAGCATACATGTAAAAAAGGATCTTAGATAACTTTTCTTGCACATATTTTCCCTGTAAGAATCCAAGCAACATAAAAGCTCTGAGACAAAGGATAAATGAATAAAAATAAAAAGAAATGTTAACTTTATCCCTTAAAATCATGTGTGACTGCTGGCAGCGTGGTCCACATGCAGGGTGCCACACAGTACCCTGAGTGGTGACAGCAGGAGGCCTCACCTGGCCAGCGTGGTGCTCAATCTCCTCGGCCCTTCTCTGGTACCAGTCCATCGCCTCTTCTACTGCCAGCTGTGCAGTCCGGTACCGCAGCAACTCAGGCTGCGCAACATACAGAAACTCACTTTCATCCTGCAGGCTCGGCTCAACAACCATTCTGCAACAGAAGGAGCAACAGCTGACTCAAATGCTGCAAAACATAGAGAATTTTGAGAAAAGACAAGGACAGAAGGGGACAGCAAGAGACTGCAGGCCACAAAACGCTGTCACCAGGAGCCCTCCTCAGCATCCCACAAGGAAAGATGCTCGGGCTGGACCCTACCTACCTGCACTCCAACTCCTCACACCAATCTTTAGCTCTGTGTTTACGCTCACGCCAAGGAATGATCACCAAGGAGTCACCGCGACGACTTAAATGTGAAAGAGAATACACAAACATTTAAAGCTCAAGAAATATGAATGATGCAAAAAATATCTCACAGCTCTAAGCACCAAGACTCCTGCTTAGGCTACGGTAGATGGTGCATGACATAGTCTACAGTGACAGTGTGTACACAGAAAATATTGTACTGCTGGTCTCCAACCATAAAATGTTCAAAGTGCAAAGGAAACTTTCAAAGAAAAAATTTGGCTAAGACTTTAAAAACTGGTATGGGTATGTGCTCATTTCACACATTTTAAAAACATTTGCCAAGAGCCTGTACTGCATGATCTTCACACCAACACGAACGGTCCCCGGCCCAAAATCTCACGGTCTGGAGTAGGGCCATCCAACGCGTTTTCCCTGGTCACAGAAATGTGTACCACACAGTGACCACTCGGTCCCTGTGTGTGTATCAATCACCGAAGAAGACCCCATGCTGAGAACGGAAGCTGTCATTTCAGTTCATTTCAATTAATTTTAGTTTGAACAGCCACATACGACCAGTGCTACCATCTTGGATAGCACAGACTCAGAAGACCATGTAATAACTTTGGGAGTTGAAAAGCATCCCAAAAAGATGACCAAAAAAATCTCAAAGGGGCAAAGATGAGCCCTGATGGAATGGAACTGGGAATAAAACCAAAGGAAAGGGGAGGAAAACCCAGTATGTAATATGGCACAGCAATGAAACAGCTTTTCGTGAGCTCTTTGGTCTCCAGCACATGACTTTCTACCTCGAAGGGCGCTTTAGCCCAAACATCCAGGAATCCAGGAAGACACCTGAAGCATTCTGAATTAAGAATGAAGAAAACACATTTAAAAACAAACTTCAATCGCCTTGCTCTTATAGCTCAACAAAACATTTTCTCCCATTGTCCTAAGTATCCACAGGGGTATTTTCCTAAAATTTACCATAGCCCAAGACAAAGGATTGCACCTTCTCTTATTATTAGGTTATGAAACATGCCTTGCACAAGAATCACTTCATAAACACCTGAAAATTATGTCGGTGGAGAGACTGGGCCTTATGTGAAGGGTCACAGGAGACCATCAGAGGGCTGGAAAGGGGAAGAGGGACTTTTGCAGGCTGGGAGGGCCATGGTGACTGATGAATCCATCGCATCGTCTGCAGTTATAACTGCTGCGGCAAATCATCCCAATGCTAGGCTCCCTGCTACAGCTATAAAGTGAGAAGGTGGCTGGGCTGTCTGCTGAACAGCTGCTTTCAGCCAGCAAAACCGGGACTGGGCACAATACACAGGTGTTTCAGCTCATAGTTTTGAAATTATGAATCATTCAGAAATTATTTAGAATGGATGCTACAATCACTATACTTCATTTCTCACCAAATAAAATAACTATTTTATTTTCCTTCATGTCAATAACAAATATTTTATGGCAAAGCACTGAAATGAAAAGTAAAACAGATAACATGTTGATACAAGAGTGATAATGCTCACTCTTCCAACCTAACAACAAATTAGAACAATGAATTGAGAACATGGGGAAAAAAAATGAACCTAGCAAGGTGTTATACTTTTTCTAATTAGAGCAGACACAGTTCCTTAAGGTACACAAAATTTTATAAAAATGTATCACAAGGTGAGATTTGCATTTTCAGTAGAGTACATATTAGATACAAGAGGCATCATCAAAATGATTAGTAATGGTATGAGCTCTTCAGCAAAATATGCTTAGCTAGAAATTAAGAGTCTACAAAGATGTGAAGTTTATTACTTTCACTGAACAGAAATAGGTTTAAAAAAATCTTTATTTACAAAAACACATTAAAAATAAGTTCTGCTCAAAGGCCCCCTCCGAAAGTTTGAAAATACCATTTTGCTGCAATTTTAGGACACAACACAACTGACTCACTCCTGAATATGCTAACAGCAGTGTTGCTACCATTATTAGATCAGCAATGATTGGCAAAAACAATCCTCAACATCGACTGATCTCTCACTAGGAACCAGACAGTACACACGGTGCCTCCACTTGGTCCTGCCAATCTAATGTAGTAGGCAGTGTTACTTTCCTTATACTGTGGTGAGAAGACCAGCACCAGTAAAGCTGTCCTCCCCACGCAGCAAACAAACAACGGAGCCCTGACCTGAAGCCACCGGTGGTAGTCCCGGGGAGGGGGTTCACAGCTTGGCCACCAGGAACTCTGCCTGGAGGAGGACAGAGGTGACCAAGCCCACCCTCATGCCAGCACGCCCCTCCCTTGCACACGAGAGTAACCCTGAATCCAGGCCCCATGGGGAGGAGGCACCCTGAGCCTGCCCGACACAGCAAGCCAAACCAAGAGCATGCGTACACCCTCTACACACACGTCTAAAGGGTTCACCCAAACTAAATCTGCACGAAGCTGCAATTTTCATAAAAACAACTAGATATCATACTGCTCCTCGTATAGCCTGCTTGGACACCGTGCACGGCAGCCTTCCCCTCAGGTTCACAAACTCTCAGCACCCCACTTCCTAAAAGAGCCTCCACTGCGCTGCTCCTTGACAGTCACCTCAAAAGGCCGGGACAGTTTCCAAACCCGAAATACAAGCCTGCCGTACTGTTCTGGGCTCCTAGCAACTCAGAAGTAAGCCAGACAAATGGAAAAGGAGTACTTCTTAGCTAACTAACCAACCATTTTCAAGGGAAAAGAACTACCTCTTTAAGAATCAAAAAAGTAAATGCAGTGCCCTAATCTTCCCATAACTACTTCACTTTCCAGGCTGGTTTAGGTGACATCTCAGTACAATAACCAAATTATTTGGGACTAGAATAACCACCACAAAGTGCTTTTAAAAATTTCATTGGAAAAAAGAAGAGTATCTACAAACAGGACTAAGCTACCGAGAAATGTAAGTAAAAAGAAATTAATACTTGTTTACTAGAAACCCTCCACAAGGATTCCTTGGAAGCAGTGAGTTAACCTGGAACATCATTTGCACCTTATGAATTAACAAGACAGTACTGCCCAGCTGATGAGCAGTTTCAGACTGAAGATTTATTCAGACTGCTCTTTCCCACCTGAACTTCTCAACATAAAAACACACTCAGCTGTCCAGGCCCAGATCAAAACCTTTTGTGCTCCAAGAACCTGAGCTCCCCTTCACATCAGAAAACGTCTCCTCATTCTACAGTGGTTACTTCCACCCTGAGCCTACTTGATCTTTCCCACAAGATTACACTTTACCTGTAGAAGAGGAATGCATCTCTATAAACTATTTTTCAATGAAATAAACTATTACAAAGCAATTTAGAAATATTTTAATTTTTAAACCACTCTCATATATACTCAAGTTATAAATCTGACTCAAGAAAAGATTAAAATTCAAAGATCAACATCTGCTCTGCAAGAAACATTAGTTAGGACCCTCACGGAGGACAACCTTCTGGAATATCCACAAAACTAAGACGGCAAAAGTCATTCACTCAAGAACTGTCTTCTGTTGCTTTTCAAGAAAAAATAACAACGGTAACTGATCTTCTGACCAGAAAGCTGCGTTGGCTTCAGTGAAAAAGATCATCCAAATCTTCCCTTGAAAAAAATAATACACTAAAGTAAGTCATTTACACATCATCAACCTGAAACTAGAAGTGCAACATTCCATGGGCTCCTTTCTACCTTTCAACTATGAAGAATTGTGATGTCTGATCTCCCTAAAGAGAACTCTGGTAGTGATTCAAGTTATAAGGTATATCAATTGCCCTAATCAAATGTGTTGTACTGAGAATTTAACTAAAATGTACTTAAGTTCTGTTTTTCTGTCCTAAATTTTCTATTGTTCTAGTAACAGAAAAAGTGTCCACGTCTGCCCACTCAGATCCAAGAGTTATAAAACAAAGAATGAGAAGGCACCATTTCCCTCCACTCCGGAGGTCCTGTTCACCGCCAGAGAAGGATAAGTCCTCCCACTGGAGCCCGGCAGTAGCACAATAGCACAGCCTCTTGCCTCCAATTTGAATTCATCTTTACCCAGTTTAGAAATAGTTTTCACAGCATAAACAGAAGCAGGCAGGAGAAACTGGTTTTCAGGCACCAGGAGGCCAGCAATTCCTGAACATGGAGACTGCAGTCACTGCAGTCACTCACAAAACCCAAGTTCAAGGGCTGCCCAAGTTCAAGGCAGGCCGTGGTGTGGCACACAGAAAGTGAGCAGGAAGGGAGGGCGAGACCGCCTGCCTTCTCAGCTCCCAGCAGTGCCCCGAGAGGAGAAAAAGAAGTCTGAAAAAGCACAGAGATCTGTCCAGCCTGTGTTCAGTCTGCACAGCCAGGCTTGCCCATTCCCCAGCCTGGGGTGGGAATTGCCATGGGCCACACGTGAGATATGTAGTAAGACTGCAGTGGTGTGTATAAGTAACAAATCTTCTAAAAAGTATCTTCCTCATAACCCAGGCAAGCCCAACCAGCAGCCTTAGGTCCCTTTCTCAACGCAAAGCGCCCAGGACTGCGGGCAGGACTGCGGTCAGTCAGTCTGGATATGGCCCTGTGACCGCAGGCTGAAAGGCAGCTGCGTGCATGATGCCCAGTGCGTGGAAGTCAGCAAGGTGAGAGGCACTCGGGAGCACACTTCCCCTCAGCCAGTGGCTCCACAGGACTCGCAAATGAACAAGTCTAAAAGTATCTTCCAGTCCACAGCCTGTAAGGGCCCATCTCTGAACAGCAAAAAAGACAGCGGCTGGGATGCACTGCTGCCAGAGCCTGTCCCACACTGGCAGGGGTGCTCTCTCCTTGGGACTCCCCAAGCCTCTCAGTCAATGCACGGAGGGTCTAATTCACCCAATCAGTGCATATCTTCGGAGCCCCACTACACACCCCGTGCGACAGCCCAGGCTCCAATGGGTGGCTCTGCCCACGGTTAGTCTGGGGCTGAAGGTGGGAGTTCAAGATGGGAACAAGGAACAGATGGGCAGAAACAAAATGATTTGCTGTACTAACGGGTAAAAGGCACCATGCTAAAAGGATCAGCAGAGTATAAGAGCATGAGAAAAAGAATAATAAGAGACCTCACAGAAGATGTTATTATGCCTAAAGCATTAACTGTGGCTTTGTTTTTCAACAACTTAAATTACAGGAGGATGAACACATTACCATTAAATCTTATTGTTCTTATTCCAATTAAATAAAATAAAGGGGAAAAAAACCTCATTTTTCTCAATAGAGTTAAAGATGAATGAACTTAAAGACTCATGTGAAACGAGAGACAAAGTTTTCCTAAATGTTGAATCCCAAAACAATGATTTAATAGCTTAATCTTCTAATATCCTCTGCTGTGAGATGGTATAACGGAAGTGCTTATTATCATTTAAATAGCTCCCCTGGGCAGGTACCCCTAGTAACCACAGGGCATTCAAAGACAGCACAGTATCAAACACTGGGAAACTATTTCCAAACCAATTCTGAAATTTCAGGTTAAAGTCTAATGTTCAAGCAATCATCAGAAAACAATAAATATAAATGCATTCAAATCTAAGGTGAAACTACCTTTGAAAAACACTTGATAGATAGTAGTCCTTTTCTGTAGACTAGCAATTTAGCTGAAAAAGTCATCTCTATTCAGATTAGATCTATTTTGTAAGAAGGCAGAGAACAATAGACAATTTTATTCTGAAACATTCTTAGAAAACATATTTACATATTACAAGATCTAAAATTATTTGAAAATGAACAAAAATGCAAAATAAGAAATGTATAACATATATTTAGAGAGTACTGACTTACCCTAAATAAACATAAGTTCCAATGCTGGCTTCATATATATATACACTAGCATGCTACTAAACCTCTGTAAATCCAATTTTCTAGAAGAGCAAGGATAATAGAAAATGATTTGGAAACCAGATATAAATATGTGCCAGATACATGGCAATCACTCTATATATATTGTTTACCATCAACATGTAAGCCTAAAAATTTATCGATAGGATAAACAAGATAACAGTGAGGGAGCCAGATGACCCCATTTCCACAGCACCCGAACACATGTGTCTCTCGGGCCAGAGATGGAACAGTGACTGCTCACACAACTGTCACAACAACCCTCTGTAGCTTCACCGTTTACAGCAGATCTCATGGGCCAATTTACCTGCCACTAAACTATGCAATGTGAGTAAGCAAGAGAGAAACTGCCAACTCACTTTAAAGAAGAGCAAACTCAAAAACAGAAAAGACAAATCATGCAATTAATAATGGAACTGCATTCACCAGTGGGCACACTTGCTGTGTATAACAGGTCTCAGAGATGGACAATGTCACTCTTGCCTTCTTCCTCAACTATGTAACTGACCTACTCAAAGTATGCTCCTCACGCCTCTCTTCTTCCAAGCACCCTTCAGCCTGGGACAAATGGCCTCCCCACCTCGGAGCTATGCAATGGAGCAAATATATTCTCCTTGCTGATGTTCCAGTCTCCAGAAAACCGCAAGAGAAAATACTGGGCCGTGACATCCACACAGACTGTCACATGTTGCAACCCAACCATCAAGTAGTCTTGAAATGAAAAGAAAAGCGCATTCGTCTAATAGTAGTGGTGTTTCAATTCACCATTTGTCTTTGTCTCTGGAATTTCAAAAAAGAAAAAGGTTGCTGAGCACTGCAGGATGCAGACACTCCTGGGTCCCTATACTATCAGAACTATAATGTAATTTCTAAGAGAGACCACTAGCTCAAATAGACATTGCTCAATTGTTGTTGACCAGAAGACAGTATATACTGAATATATAGCAGGAAAATCAGGAGGCTTTCAAAAAAAAAATAGATTTTGTCCATTAAGTTAAGGTGATCCTATTAAGGCAAATACATTTTCACTTCAGAAATATTTTTAAAAATAAGTTAAAAATAATTATATTACCAAGGGGAAAAACTAATTAGACCACATTAAAATTATTCTTTTTAAAATTTAAGGTGTTTGTCATGAAACAAAAACTTTCTAAAACTTCAAAAGCAGGTAAAATTTGGTGAATGGAGTCACATACCGAGCTTCAGGTAGCAGCACAGAATACTCGTGTGGGGAGGTAGTTTCTGGAAAGTTGGAGAGAATCGCAAGGCGGTGAGGAAGCAGGTCAGAACCGTGGTATGTAAACAGAATCTCTAAGGCTTGTACATTACTCTCCTGTATGAGAAGCAATATGGACCTCAGAAATACAGGGGCAACCCTATGCACAACATTCAAAACCTACAGTTTATGCAGTTCCAATATGGCATACTTTGAAACAGTCCTGATTTTGTCTTAGCTTATATAATTTCAATTTAATGTTACACAAATTATTTATATTTAAAACTCTGAGTGATGAATAAAATCTTTAAAAATGTAACTCCATTTTCTCCACATTTCTTAGTATAACAACTTAGTATGTACAGCGCAATGGTACATGCATGCAGTAACACTGACTGCACAGCTCTAAGATATGGAGATCATTAATAACCATAATTGTTCTGTTTACAAAAAAGAAATTACCCGAGCATAAGTTCTTGCTGAGAGAACAATATTCTGCCTCCTGAAGGTCTTAAAGAACTCAGCATCGTATCTCTGTTCAGAGGCATGAGACACGCCTAGGATTTCCTGAGGGAAAACAGATTTAATGAATAGACTTTTAAATATGGATGACAAGAAAATATTAAAAATCTTTAAAACTATGACCATGTGTTATAATAAGGTCTGAGTTAATTAATTTCAACAACCAATTGTTAAGTAAAGTACTACAACTGCACTCTTGCCATCATTTTAAAAGGGGCCATATTTATAAGTACTAATTTTTTTCATCTAGAAGTAAATGAAATAGGCAGTAGAAATTAATTACAGTAGGACAACCAACTCCAACCACTTGGTAGAAACAAATAAGAGACAACTATCCAAGGATGTGCAGTAGGAGCACCTACTGCCTCTACATGAGAACTTCAGGTTAATTTTACATAATTTCAATATTTGTAAAATGCAGATTGAACCACCTGTTCATCCCACCAAAAATCTACTGAGTGACAGTATGTGCGAGGGACACTGTAAATGTGCTGGTGATTCCCTGAATCACACATTTTCCCTGCCTTTCCCTGCCTTCCAAGTAGCTTGAAATCCAGCAGGGACATGACCCAACTGTTTAAAAACTATTTTTAAAAAGAAGAGCCTTCACTAGAAATAGTAATGTCACTGTGGTTATTTTTCAAAGTCCTCATCAGTTAGAGACACATACTCAAGTGTTTATGGGTAAAATTATAGAATTTCTGGGATCACTTTAAATTAGTGAAAGAAAAGGCAGAAGTGGAAAGCTGGAAAAATAAAAGATAAGATTAGGAAAAGAACAAGCTGAGGAGTACATCAGAGGTTATCAGGCTGTTATCTATACATTTAAGAATGCTTGGGAAATTTTATTATAAAAAGATTAAAAAAGAAAACCACTGATACAACAGCAAAACTCAAATCCACACTTAGCACTGCTCCTCAGGGTTACATCTCCCCAGGTGGCTTCCTTTCATGGTCTCTTATGAACTTCTGCATGATGCTCTCAGGTTTTCTAGACCCCGATGTCTTATTCCCCCAGCAGCAGCCTCATCTGAAAGCCTAGCTTTACTACACCCTGGGCAGCGCCGGATGGCCTCCTAGAACAGTGGCAAACCTGCCTGCAACTAGTCTGACACTCATGCCCGCACCCGTGCTTGCACCCATACCTGCACCCACACCCGCATGCTTTTCTTCCCTTCCAGTACAGCACAAGAAAGCATCTCTGCTCCTACAGACATCTCCAACCTCCACCCTTGCTCTCCATTTTTATACCATTTCTTTTTTCCTTTTACTTATTTCTCTTGTTTTGGCTTTTGTTTTTTGAGACAGAGTCTTCCTATATAGTTCAGCTGGGCTTGAACTTGTGTTGATCCTCTTGCCTCAGCCTCCAGAATGCTGGGATTACAGGCATGTGCCACCATGCCAGTCTCTGACCTCCATTTGTACAATCCTGAGAAATATCCCTTTGTTCTACTCTATAAATTCCTCCTGCCCTCTCCTGGCTCATCTTCACTAGCACACCAACAGTTCTTCTATTATCAAACCATGACCACTTTCTCCACCCTCACTTCCACTCTTTCCCCTACTCACTAAACCGCTGACAAAAATTCAACCTGATTCCCTCTGCCAGATGAGCCCTCCGCAAATGCACCACAGACTCTCCTAAGCAGATCTCCTACCCTTGTTCTGTGCCCCTCTCCCCGTGGCCTGACACCCCGACTCTTCTTTCACACCACCAGCCCCTCCCTAACCAGAGATCAGGTGTCAGTTCTTCTTCCTACTTGTTTGGAAAAACTATGCACCTTCTCTAACCTCATTTCCCAATCCATAAAACTGGGAGAACAGGGCCAGGGATATAGCTCAGTGGCATAAGCGCCTGCCTGGCAAGCATAAGGTCCTGAGTTCGATTTCCAGTACAAAAAAAAAACTGGGAGGACAACAGTAACTGCCTTGAAGGAATGCTGGGACATAACCTAGGCTAGGGCCATCAGACAACTGCTGGCAGACCCGAGGCATGCCTGACAAATACAGTGAATGGTTAAACTTTTACACAATTGATTATACTGAAAGAGACACTATCAAGAACAATGGGATAAGTGTGTTCATGGCAAGGGGGAGGATTTTGAGGAGAATGAATGTTAATACATATGTCTTTTACTGCAATTAATTTTTCAATATTCACTGTAATTTTTGGTCATATTGCATAATGGCTAAGGATCCTCAACAAAAGTGTGGGTATTTCTATAACAAATGGTTACTTCAACAAATATGTTCTGCTCTCCACCAGTAAGTCAGGTAGCACTCTGAGCTCTGGGGCCACAGAAACAAAGAAAGCAGAAGCACTAACTTAGGGAGAGTCCTCATGGAGGGTCCAGCCCTGAAACCCTGGCTTCCTCCAGGACTAGCTGCAAGGGGATCTGCTAGGCAGACTCAAACACTCCCTAGGGATCTCACATAGACTATGAAAACTGTTCTTATGCGCCACTCTGCCATGAGCAACTATTTTGAGAATCAAGAGAACTTGGTACCAGAGAAGTGGGGTTGTTACTGCGACTATACTTGACCATGCAGTTGAAAAGCCTTTGGGAATGGCTTGTAGGAACAGCTTGCAAAGGCCTGAGAGAGTAGCACTGGAACGCCTTAGGCTGTTCTGTATGGGAGATTCTGGACAGAGCTCAGAAGACCAGCAGGCTGATAGAAATCCTGCTAGTAAAGACCAGGCTCAGGAGGTTTCTGCTGGAAAGAAAGACTACATTGGCTGTTGGACTCCAGATGATGTGTATTATGGCTTGACAAGTTTGCCTGCATTTTGCTCAGGTCCAGAGACTTTGCCTGAGACTAAGATTAAGGGTGGCAGACTAATTAATCTGGCAGAAGAAATTTCAAGTCAGTCAAATGCTGAGGTGGTGGCATGACTGCTGCTGGGGGCTTTTAGCCAGATCTATGTTGAGAATCAAGGGCAAAGAGCCAAGCAGAATTATTTAAAAATGTGAGTTTGGCCAGAAAGGAAGCTACAGTAAAGCTATGGCCTGCAAACATAGAGCAGACATCTTAATTGTTGAGAAGGAACAGGAGAATAGAAAGGATAGCCTAAGGGGATCACAAGAAGAAGCAAGTCTCCACCCTTTGCAGGCTCAAAACTGCAAAAGTGAAAGACTGCTTTGAGGAGAAACCCCCAGAGCACCATGTTTCAAAATGGCAGCAGGATAGAAAATTTGCTCCTCAGAATTGAGCTCAGAGTGCCTAGCAATTCAGGCACTTGATCCCCATAGCCAAGAGAGAAGGAAGCTTGGCTACTGCTCCAGCTGGCAGCACACCTTGGCATTGTCCACATGGCACTGGTCTTAGGTACCATGCAGAATGCAAGAGTTGTGGGATTAAGAAAGCTTCCACCCCAATTGTAGAAGGTCCCTGACAGGACAGTGTGTGAAGCTATAGGAAGCCGAAGGTGCAGTGGAGACCCCAGAAGTTTGGAAAAGCCAGGAATGTAGATCACCTAAGGAAACCTGTAAGGAGGGAGCAAAGCCAGCCCAGGAGAGAAGCCATGAGAGCTACAACCACCAAAAGTGCCACAGAGGCTGAGCCACCCAAATCCTTTGGAGCTCACAACTTGCCAAAGATTGCCTCAGATGTTTGCCTGGCTGGACTGTGGACTTGCTTGGTCTCACTCCTTTGTTGTTTTTTTTGTTTTGTTTTGTTTTTTTTGTTTTTGTTTTTCTCCGGTACCGGGAACCGAACTCACGACCTTGCGCTTGCCAGGCAGGCGCTTTGCCACTGAGCTAAATCCCCAGCCCCAGTCTCACTCCTTTGTATCCCTCTTTCTAACTTTTGGAATGAAAATGTTTATCTTGTGCCACTGAATGTTGGAAGTGTTTAATTTTTCATTTGTAAAGAGGTTTGCAGCTAAGAGTTTGCCTTAAATCTCAAAGACGACTTGGGACTTGAACTTTTCAGCAATGCTGAAACTATTAGGACTTTGGCAACTCTTGTAGATGGACAAAATGCCTTTTCCATAAAGGGATGTGCATGAGTCTTTGGAGGGCCAGGGTAGACTGTTACAATTCTAATGCAGTATAATGCTGACAGGCTTAATACCGATTCTTAAGGATTGTTAAACTGTGTTATAATGTTCAAGTTGTGAAATAATAAGCATGTCTTTGTAATATGGAGGCTGGGTTAAAGAAATATGTTTGGTTGCCAAGTTGAAAAGGGGTGGATTGTAATGGTTGATACATCGTGTCAACTTGAGAAGTTTAGAAGGTTAACTAAATGATTCAGCAGGGGGCCAGGGTCCCACCTTTGTAAACATCCTGAGCCAGTGGAAGAGGTGGGCACTGAGATGGTGTGGGTGGGTAGCCTAGAAAAGCCAAGGAGGAAAAACAGCTTGCTCTCCTCTAGTTCTTGGCTCTAGCTGCTTCTGCTGTCTTCTGCTGCCTTGAACTATTGCCCCTCACCATGCCACCCTGCCCTGGAGCCAGCAAATTATGAACTGAAACCTCCACAAACTGTGAGCCAAATAAACCTTTCCTTCCTTAATTTTGGGAATCAGGTATTTTGTCTCAGCAATGAGATAAAAGTAACCAATAGAGTAATAAAATGCATGTGTATTTCCACCACTATCTAACTATCTACCCATGCCAGCTGAACATTCTCATTACAAAATTTTAACAGCCAGATTCATTGCAAATCATCTATTTTTCAAATATTTTCTTAATTTCCCTAAGAAAAGTGGCTTCACCAAATACTTTAAATGTCCCTACTACAATGTAATAACAAAAGTACATACCATGGCTATGTGGGGAACAGCAATCAATAAACCAAAGCAAAGTACAGAAATAATAACCTGTGTCTAACCGACTTCTACAATGCATGGCATGCTTAGGAGGTACTACCTCAGACTGTCAGATGCAGACATAGTTAGGGGACACACTTAAATGATATCACCATCCAACAGCCCCACTAGTTGTACTTGCAAATAAAATTATCAGGAATCTTTTCTAACTTGCTTTGCATCAAACACTATATGCATTACAGATGTTTTCTAATAACCACAGTAATAGAATTTTTTAGAATTTTTTTAGAAAACATTTCAACTACATTAGCAGGGTGGGGGAATCCTGTTCAGAGTTCTAAATGCCTGTTATTCTTGGCATGAGCACCACACAACAGAGCCAGTGCCTGCCAAGCGTCTGCCAGGCATCTGCCAAGCGTCTGCTGAGCATCTGTGGTCCTCTGCACTGGTGCCAGGCACCACGCAGGCTGCACCCTGGGAAGGGGCTGCACCTCAGTCTGGCCAAGCCAACCGCAATAGTGAGAAACTTATTTCAAGGCCTGGAGCTTCATGGGAAAAGAGCAATTTAAGACATGTGCACTCCCTGAAATTTGGTCCTTTCCGCCCCCAAGTCTAATATACCTATACAGCTCTGACAGCACAGACACTAAGATAACCCAACATGGGGTGATGGCACTGCATCCCAAAGACCCCAGCATGAAGCTGCTCAAGCTGTCATTGAGTAGAACAAATGAGATTATCCATGTAAAGATTGTTAAATTCACCGTGTACAAAAGTAGTACTGGAGCCAGCTGGGTGCCAGTACCTTAAAGTAAAAAATATGAAATAAAGATAAATGTAAAGACTTGTAAGTCTAAAAACATACATGCACTTTATTCCCTAACATCACCAAACAACTTCAGGCATTTCAATCTCAAATTTTTGTAACTATACCAAGAGAACTTGCTTCTGTAAAAAATTAATTTCCCCCACATAAACAGCATTAATGACCAAGAACATAAGATACTAGGGCAGCCACAGCATTTATGATTAACAGACCAAATGAAGACGCTGATTGATTAAAACCACCCCTCACCTTGTATGTTGCAAGTCGATCTAAGTAAGTCAGTAATTTCAGTCTACACCGGCAAAGCTCCTTCTGCTCCAGGGTCAACCTGTTTGAATAACCATATTCGGCCACTTACATTTACACAGAAGTACCTTTCTCTAGGGGTTAAATCAGAGGGAAAATGGTTAATATTCCTCAAAGTCTACAATTCTTGGAGGAACAGACAAAGGCACAAGGGTAAAACAATACTCCATGCATGTCAGGTTCTGCAGTAACTCGGTCACCACCACAGAAAAAACACACTGAAACCACCACTTATGTTAGGGAAGCTGCCAAATTAGCGGAAACAGAGTGCTTACTCAGTGAAGCTCACGAGTTTAAGTAGTTCACATCTCTCCCCGAGCGCCTTCTCCTTTCGCTTCTGGGCAAGCCCCTCCTCTGGGGGTGACAGCTCCTCGTAGGAGATGGCATCAATGTCCACATCACCAGGCAACGTAAACCTGTGACAATAAAAGAAAACTCAGATCTACTCAGATTTGTTTTTTAATTTCATGAAAAGCTGCTTTCTCCTATTTTGGGTGATATAACTAACTTACCTTCCAGCTAATTTTTAATTAGCTAATTGTAAAGCTAATTGTTAATTAGCTTTCCAGATAATCATTTTTAAAAACTTTTTCCCATTGCAAGCAAAAATGATTCATTTGCTGGGTGTGGTATCGCACATCTGTAATCCCAGCACTCACGAGGCTGAGGCAAGCTGCAAGTTTGAGGCCAGCCTGGACTACAAAGTGAGCTGAAGGCCAGCCTGAACTGCACAGTGAGACACTGCCTCAAAAAGACAAAAAACAAAATGATTCATTCATTAAATCCATAGTACAGATAGGAAAAAGTCATCCATAATGATCACAGAAATTTTTAAGTCAAGAAAATGCAACTATTAAGGAAAATGCAAGGCATTATATATGCCATCTCTTCGCCCAATATATAAGGCAGCCACATGGAAAGTGCTGCCCGCAGAGCTCACAATCCCATCGTTCCCATTTACAAAATTAAAATGGTAGCGAGCGCTGGCCTCCCAGAGGTCATTCACAGCTGCTCAGGACTGCTGCTGCCAGGCTGGCTCTCGTCAGATCACCGCATTGCCGCTAATATCACCAACATGCACATGAATGCTGCTTGGAGGCTTGGGAGGTGCTTTCATACGACGTAAGGCGTACAGCATAATCACTGAGTACCTCCACGAGGAGGAGCAGAGCGCAGGCTGGCCCATGGCGTCCACTGGCAGCAGGACAGGCCTGCTTAGTGCCCTGAGCCCAGATTTGAAACCAATCCCCTTCAGCCAGTGGCACAGAACCTGTCTCCGCAGCGCCCAGTCCACATGCGGACATGCTGAGCATAAAGGGAAGAAATCTGTTCCCTAAGATTACAAAGGGCTTGTCCCAGCTGGAAGCTCACGAGCACCCTGACTCTGGGTGCAGCCTCCATCACCTACCTGCCACTATCCACGCTGCTCCCCAGGGTAAGCAAGGCCTCCAGGTCGGTACCTTTCAAGCCGTACTGCAGCAGCTCTTGGGCCGCCTCCACATTTTCAGGAACACGCTCCAAACACTCATGGAGCACCCAGGATCGCTTCTTTATTTTACTCTGGATAAACGAAAATGAAAGCAGAGGTACTGAAGCGCTGTGGCATCCTGCAGCACCTAACAACAGCTGTCCAGAGGACAATGCTGTCAGAAGATGTCGACATCCCCCCAAGCTCGAGCCAACGGTCTGTTCAAGCAGAGCCATGCCCCTGGCCGCCGTGCATCAGGCTGGCAGACTGGTTCCCTACAGAGCTCATCTACAATGAAATGTTTCCTGGGCCCCTACCACGTGCCAGGCCTGCACCAGACAAGAGGGTGCAGTGCACACAACAGTTAGGTGGCTGGCCACACAAGTCCTGCACATTGTCTCTGAATCTGCTCACATCACTTGTCCCCTTGGTTTTGTCTTGTCTTTTTTTTTTTCTTTTCCGGGAAGAGGTTTGTTTGCCTGGTTTTTGAGACAGTCTCATTGTGTAGTTCAGACTGGTCTCAGACTGGCAATCCTCCTGCTTCAGCCTCCCCAGTATTGGGATTACAGGTGTGCATCACCATGCCTGGCCCTTTGTCCTCTTAAGAATGCCTTCCATGAATTCACATATGAACAGAATAGAGCAATCCCAAACAAACAGCCTAATGATGCATCTTAAGGTCCTAGAAAGATAACAATAATCCAAATCTGAAATTAATAGAAAGAAATATAAAGATCAGAGTAGAAAGTAATGAAATTGAGACTTAAAAAATAATACAAAGGATCAATGAAAGTGAGAGCTGGCTCTCTGCAAGGATGGGGAAGGGTTCTGAGGGAGGCGCAGGGAGGGCCAGTGTGAGGTTCCAGATTCTATGGGTGCCCCAATCCCCCACAGAATGAGCTCACTGCACGAGGGAGACACAGCTGATGGGGAGGGGGTCCTTCCTCTCCTCTGCAGAAGGCCTCGCTCCAAATCTTAGCTTCCCGCCTGAGCACCTGCCCTGCACAAAGCCTCCCTTCCACTCTCTGGGTCCACAGTGACCACTACTTTACTAGGCCCCCTCCTAGGGTTTCTGAAATCAAGCATAGTTCCGTGCACTTCTAAGTGTGGAGTCTGTGCCCTCAGGAAGATTTTCCATCTCCCACAGTGAAGGCCACACTTGAGCCTTTCCTGTCCCTCTTTGCAGTCACAAGCCTGGTGCTCTTACTCCTAATTGCCTGTTTATTTCACCAAATTAAATGTGTCCCCAGTTAAAAATTTCCTTGTTTTGCCTCTCCTGGCAGCTCTCAGCTCCTTCAGAAGCCCAAACTGTCCTTCACTGTGCTTCAGAAAATGCATGAAGTGAGGAGATGTGCTTAGGAGCTCACTGTCCTAATCCTAATAAATAAACAATGAAAGGATAATGCAGGTTCTGTGTTTGATTTCTGAAGCAAATACAAGCAGTCTGTGTTCCCCCTTTCCACTACCTCCGTGCCCTCTCCTCTCTGGCACTGACCACCCTACATGGGTGAGTCATCAACTTCTTAAAAACAACCTTTTCGATCATGGTTTTGTTTAATTAATCAAAAATATAAACTTAAAGGTTAAAGACTATACCAAAAGCTGTCATCCTAGGCTCTTCCTTCAGACAAAGGCACTGATATTTGGCTTCCTAAATGGCAGATCAGAAGGCACAACCCCCTAGGAGGTACTGAATCTCCTGTGTCCTTACAAAGACATCAAGACTCAGAGCACACAGGCTGGCAGGGAGCTGACTATCACTCCAAGACCCTGTATCCAAGTCTGAACGCCATGTGGTTGTTTTCCTGAGCGGAGGGCCTGGGGGACTTGGTCATGAGGCAGCACCCTCATGACAGGCCTGGTGCCCAGAAAAGAAAGAGGAGAGTGGGGCTTTGCTCTGCTCCCCACCACACGAGACACAGCGCCAAGGAACTCATCTGCGGACCTGGAAGATGAGCACCAAACAGGCAGACACCGTGGGGTAGACTCACCAACCCGCAATGGAGCTCCCTTAAGCCACTTCTGCAATCTCCGTGTGACAGCAGCCTAAGCATAGTCAAGGCTGCATGACAACTTTAACAAGGGAGGCCTGTGGCAGGAAGGACCCAAGTGTAGGATTTAAGTAAAAAGGAGTTTCTGGTATGAGGAGGAGTGTTTGCAAGTCTGGTATGAGGCTCATCTATGTGTCACTTCACAGCTCCAAGCAGCCATGAGACAGCATTTCTCCTTCTCATTTGCAGCTGCCAGGGACCCAGCTCTGTCAACAGAGGGCACCACAGCTGCAACAAAGGTTTCCAGTCCTGATTTCTCCACTTCTATCTTCCTGCTCCTCTGGGGTGCAGGCAGCAAGGCCCGGGGAACACAGTGGCCCAGGGACACGCACACACACGCAGTAACCCAGGAATATGCACGCGCACACGCATGCACCCATTCCCTTCTTCCCACAGCCACGCTTCCCACGGAGCCTCAGGGTCTCCCGGGAAGGAGCCTGGCCAGCCAGGGAGGAGCGGTCTTCCAGCCAGCCCTGGCTACGGCTCCTGAGCCCCAAGCCCTGAGCTGCAGCCGGGTTCCTGCTGCCATCCCTGGGGTTTTCTCAGCCACAAGCTCCACTCAGGGCACCCTGGCAGGAGGTACCTCACTACCCTCCCCACCTCCAACTGCCAAGCCAGACAGACATCTGTGGCTGGGGCCTCACTGGAGATGACCCAGACCTTCTGTGAGCAACCCTTCCCTGGGTGAGACCCAGCTGAAGGTAAGAGGCCTTCCATTTAGTGTACGCCCTCCAGGGGCAAGTTCCTTCACTCAAGGGTTTCCTGAGCACTCTCTCCACCGCTTTGCAGGTCGTTGTGTCACTAGAGAACACTTACCACAGAGCCTGTCCCTGGGCTCCTGAGTAGACCCTGTCTAGTGTGGATGCAGGGAGAGGACTGGGCCATGCTCAGACTATCAGGGACTATCATTCAAACAGCTTTGGCAGCAAAGTCCCGCTGCAGAGCAATAGCTCCAGATGAGAGCACAATCCCCATGAGACAATCCTCAGCATCTATGGAAAAGCCATCACCATAGAATGCTGAAAACAAAACCCAAGCCCAAAGACACCACGTTACCAGGTAATTCTGAATGGAGGCAACATTGACAGCTGACTTTCTCCACTGCCTCTGGTAGACAAGGTCTGTATCCAGGCCGTAGGTGTGAGCCAAAGACAAGGCTTCCTCGTACTCTTCACTTTCAATCTTTAGACAAGGACACACACAGGAGTGTTATACAGCTCAGTCACCCACAGGGCCACCCGTGATGGGACAGATGAAGACAAGCAGGGGGCACGCGGCATGCCAGGACTTCTGTGTGCACCGTGCAGAGCAGACAAACCAGTGTTCACTTAACTGTCAGAAAGATGAGCAGTGCACAGAGAAAGCACCTGCTCAGAGTCAAATAACAGCAAACCGGTGCTAGGAGCACCACAGGCCAGGAGTCCCACTCTCGTCCCCCAGCCCACAGGAGTGGCACAGATGACGGCACACAGCGTGGCAGTGGTCCTCAGCTTCCCAGGCCAGCTCCTGACCAGGCAGCAGGCCTGCACTCACCGTCTGGACCTGAGAGCCGCTGTGCCAAACACGGTAAGGGAGGCGCCGAGGGACAGACAGGTAACAGAGACCCAGCTAAGCCCCACAGCAGGCAATCTGCCAGCATGAATTCTTCTTTACTCTTTTGATTTCGATTATTCAGGTGCAAACACCTGTGTAATACTGGTGTCTACCACATCGGTGACCCAGCATCCTCCTCCCCTCCCTCTAGTGGAGAAACTGCCACCCTCAGCGGGGGTGGTGCCTCACCTTCCTCTGGAAGAGCTCCTCTGGCGTCGTGGAGCGCAGGCTCACGAGGCGGTAGTTCTTAGTAATGGTCCGAGGCCGCTTCCGTGGAGGCGCAAATCGCTCCATCTCTGTCACCAGATAAAGGCCCTGCTTTATGTAACCAAAGTAGCGAGCCTTGGCCGATGTTTCGTGATCGGACTCAGAATCCTCTTCTCCATCATCTTCGTCTCCTGCTCTCACCTCCAAACGAGAGCGTTTGGGGGCAAGTTTAATCTCACACTGAATGGAAAAGGAAGAGGAAAAATTAACAATGAGGAGCTAAAGTCAACTTCTCAGAGTTAATGAAGCCAGCATTTTTATTTCTACTCTGCGACTCATGACAGCGACTCACGCTGGAAACCAAAGGAGCCTGGTGACAAAAGTTCATCAATGGCTCCAGAAATGTGCATTCCATTAGCAGCTCCAAACCAACAAAATCAACGCCTAGTTAGCAGCCATCATTACAACGGGCCTGGAAGGACTGCCTGTAATATTCTAGACAAATAAGGGAGCCAAGAATGTGCATTTCTTTTACCTTCAATATTGCTGTATTTGCTGCAGAAAAATAAGATGGTACTTTTCACCTATTAGAGAATGGACATGAAAGTACTTATTTGCTTTTCCAAGAATAGCTCTCCCACATTCCATTTCAGAAGTCTAACAGTTTCACCAAGTTCTACCAGTCTGAACGCCTGACTGCTGGAGATAACTTTCATGCCAGGATAGGCAGAGCCGGCTTAAGGTTCCAAGCCACGTTTCTCCTTAGAGAACATCTCTAGACTTGATGACAGACTGTGGAGTAAAAAGTATGTCAGTCTATTGCTGAAGTAAAAGCTACTGAGGATTTTACTCTTGAAAGACAAGACTTTTAAATGACCAAAGCATAACCAAAAAAACTAAACTCTATTTTCAAGTCTTGTGTCTTAATATGTAAGTTTTTCTTCCTATAAGAACCAAAAATCTCAAGTATCACAGTTTAAGGAATTAAATTAAATGAGAGGCAACACCTGAAATAGAGCACACAAGCCTACATTTTAGGGTGACTGATCTAGCAGGGGGAAATCTATCAATTCAGTAAGAAAAAATGCTTTTTCTTCATTCTCTTACAATGCAAGTTTTTTTAAATCCACCGAACAATGAAATTTTTCTTTTTATGCTGCACCCAATGTCTGGTTCCAATCAGAGATTTTTGTTGCTAAAGACAAAAATCATGAGATTTTGAGATCATGAGACAACTAAAATAAGAAGCCAGCTACTTAGATTTGGGGTGAAATACATGTTTACTCTCTAACAAGGAGAAAGCCTTACCTCCAAACTTAAAAATCCCCCATCATAGGCAGCAGTGACTTGGGGTGATGGTTCAAACCACTCACAGGATCTTCCCAGTAAATTCTTCAAGGTTCTCACAGAGGAAACAGTTAAAGCCCCAGAACACCGAGCCAAAGTCACAGCACCATCTGCCCACCAACTGACATCTATCAGCGGGTAAAAGGACTCTTTATCTAATGGGGGAAAAGGTTGATGGTTTAAATACAACATATTTAATATAATAATCAACTGATCAGCCCAAATTCACCCTATTATTTGGACCCTAAAGCTATCTAAAATAATGAGAAGAAATAAAACTAAAGTCACCACTCAATTTTTTACTCAGGGAAGAGGCACAAAACAGGACAGGAATTCACTGAAAGAACATCCAAGTACTGGCAATTAGTGAGTCAAAGTCCAAAGCTCTAAGGACACAGAGGTAAATAGAGTCCCACTTCTCAAAAAAAATAAAATAAAATAAAATATTTATTCACCGGAGATGTGTCACAATTTTCAACTTAGTAAGATAAAATTAGGTGTACATGAAGTATACACACACAAAGGTTATAAAAGGTTTTAGAAACTGAACATGTATCACCTTCAGACAAACAGTGAGAGAACTATACCTTTTAAAAAAATAGAAGACAGCTATATAAAAGCTGCCAGTGCTGATGCCCTCCCAAACATTTCAGTGACAAAGGGAAGCTATTCAAAGCCAATAAAAAATTTTTAGAAATTAAAATGAATTACAGTTCAACAAGCTGAAAAAATTCAATGAGAAATGCTAAATATTTATTATAAAA